AGAGATTAACACTGACGTTAATCACCTGACTGATTTGGTCAAATGTCGAATAAAGAAAAAAGCAAACAAAAACAAACACTAAAATCAGTTTATGCGCTGCATGTCTCTCATATTCCGATAGCTAAATGAGTACAGGTTCATTAACACATATGCACATCCATATTTTACCCCCCCAACTAATAATACCCCAATATGTAGACAAGAACCCATATATTCAAGTACGCTCGAAAACGTTCGGATACGGACACGGGCGTGCGCGTGCACGCGCGCAGACACACACTTATACACACACACGCATATTTATATAAGGGTATATAAAATTGAACGGAAAGCGTGTATTATATTGTAGAGCATACAGTTATCGTGTATCAATTATTTCTTTTCTATTATTTATTATTGAAACACACACACACACATGTATATACATTCTGTTCACAAAATGATATATATAGCCTCTAAGCCTTCTATGTTCACTTTTATATATATATAAATATATATATATATATGTGTGTACGCGCGCGCGCGCCTGTGTGTGTGTGTGTGTAAATATAGGTAACTATACTCGTCTCGAAAAACCTTCGAATTTTTATATATATATAAATAAATAAAAATATATATATATATATATATATATATATATATATATATATTTTCTATAGGCTGGTGAATGATGCATTATGATTAGAAGGTTTATTGTAAGCGGTCTAGTGAAAACATTCTACCTATAATGCACCACTGACCGGTATATGTAAATGATCTAGCAAAAATAAAACACAGCACACATGGCCTGAAGATTACATTTAAGCGTGAAACAAATTTTTGCTGCTGGCTGTTGACCTCAATGTCAACTTCCATATTTACATACGCTCTATCCCTAATAATTAAGTACTTTAACCCATAAATACAAAATACCGTAAAGCTATATTTTTTTTATTGGGATATATATATATATATATATATATATATATATATATATATATATATATATATATGTGTGTGTGTGTGTGTGTGTGTGTGTGTGTGTGTGTGTGTGTGTGTGTGTGTGTGTTTCCATGGGTGTCTCCTTGGGGGTTCAGTTATGTTAGTAATACAGGATGTAAGCAGCCGTTTGTACTGCAAACACGGTGAGGATTTTTATTTTGGCACAGTAAGTGGAATCGAGATGCCAAGATGAAGTTTCTAGTTTGTTATGAGAGCTGGGTTCGAATGTTACCATGGGAGATTATCAGGAACTTACATTCTTCATGTTTTCGGTCTGAGGAGGCGATCCTAACGTACAGCACCTGCAAACCATAGCAGGTATTTACCCAAGTCTTGTGTTTGAAATTGGGAAGACAGAATTCTTTGAGGGTACTGGCCAGATTAGTCACTCTCTCGCAGAATCTGTAACTAATTTTTGCTCAACATAGCTGCAGTACAAACCACATCTTGGCTCTGTGGGTGTTGAATAAACACAAACTGGCATAAATGAGAAATTATTAGGCTTGGTAATATCCGGTGTTTTTATAATAGTTTATAGAGTCCATTTCAGATTTGTTAATCGTGATAATGTTGTTGAAGCATGTCTTTAATTGGATGATAGGGTTTTTTGCCCGGTCGCCGATCATATTTTTTTAATTGTAGACTTATTCGGAATTATGTGTTATTGTCGTTTTTTATGATCATTATGTACGCGTTGTTAAGGGATTAATTAGCGTATGTTTTTATTTTTTTTGGTTAAGATGGAATATTTGTGCATTGTGGTAAGATCTGTTTTGAAGCTGTTTTTGAATAACTGGATATATTGTTTATAAGATTAACAGTAAATGAAGATCATGAATTTTAGATGCCCTAACAACAGTATCATACTCATGAAAAAATTATAACGGCTTCTTCAATATTGGAAATGCGATTCTAAACTGTATTCAACAACAGGTGATACATTTAACCTGTGAGTAATATCACTTGTTAATGACATCTCTCATTACATTGTTTTTTTTAAAAGCGACATCGAGTTTTAAGTGTAAATGAATATGGCGTATTCACCATGTGTAATAAGAAAACAACCAGAATTTGGGGTGTAAAATCCCTTCATCACAATCATTTGGAGAATATTTACAAAGATTGGAAACAAATATATACTCCCTTGAATTTACCCAAGATGTTTAAAATATAATAGAAATATTTATTGGATATTTTTAATGAAATAGTTTTCAATTATACACTGATTATATATATATATATATATATATATATATATATATATATATGAAGAAAAATATACTGAAAAAACAAACAAAAATCCTAATATGCGATTATGCTGTTTTAATGTTTAATGTCAACGTCGGACGTTTCGGTCTAACAGACAATCTTCAGGACATATTCATAAAACATAATTAACATAAACCATATACAAATCAACATGAAAAAAACGATAGACATAAAAGCAATACCAATCCAAACAGATAACTGAAATCTTTTATATATATATATATATATATATATATATATAAAAACAAATTTGTTACTTGTAGGGACAATTCCAAGGAGGGACCTCAATATAATCTAAAGAGCATTATAATAATAATAATAATAATAATAATAATAATAATAATAATAATAAAAGTAAAAAAATCCATAAATATATATATATATATATATATATATATATATATATATATATATATATAATTTTAGAAAGCTCATAAAGACAAAGAACCTGCTAAAACGAATCATTATATAAAAACCTAAAATTGAAACAACACAACCCTCTTAAATCATATTTGGGAAATCGAAAACACAAACGAGGATAAAATAAAAATAAAATGGGAAAAAGAAAAATGTCACCAGTTTACAACCCCACCTGGAAACAAAGTAATGTTTGGCTAGATGAGAGATAACGATAATCACTTTTCTGAAAATAAATTACTAAATAAACTCTTAAGATCAGAGTTTATTTCAGATTAAAAATACAAAAACAAATACCTTCTACGCTACCTACAATCACAGCATGATCAAAACATCTAAATAAAATCCCAAACTAACAAAACTAATTTTTTTTAATCAGATACCAAAAGAGAGAGAAAAAAAGAGGAATATATGAAACAAACTTATCAATGAAGGGACACGTCAGATAAAGAAAAAGAAGACTACTTGTGTGATAGTGTATACCTATATTTAAAATCCTCTCTAAAGTACTGACCCCACAGAAAAGAACTGAGAACATTCGACTTGGTCCTTCACCTACTTTCCTTAATCCAGTATCAGTCTAAATAGAGCCCGCGAAATGAATAGTGGTATATTGTCTGAAGATAGCCGGAACATGAAACTGACTATGTAATTTTGATTCCTATATTCCGACTACATCTATCTTTCTCTGTCTGTATGTCTGCCTCTCACTTTCTTTGTATGTTTGTGTGTGTTTATCCTATATATTCTCCATTGAAGAGCATATAAGCCGATGATAAAAGGTTTTACCGTTCGGTGAACCCATCATCGAGAGAGAAGAATGCCACTCTCAGTGTGAATTGGAGCGAGATTTCCAGTAACGGTCGACCTTATTTATGCCCAGATGAGCGATTCTTTCGGCAATACTTCGCCATCATTGAAAAAGTGAATTGCCCCTGGCATCCTCAAGATTGCAAACGTCTTAAGAATAGAGGTCATATTAAGGAAATTGCATCTACATATAGCAGATCAAGTATTAAGCAACGTTAATCCTGGTCAGTACCTAGATGGGTGACTGCTTGCGAATACCAAACCATGTGCTGTAAGCTTGGATGTGCAGATGGTGTAATGGATCATGGCTCGGAATCGTTAATCGGAAAGCCGGGTTCTTTCGCTTCATGTATTTCCTCTGCAATTACCAAACAGAATTGATGACGTCTGCCGTCCAACTTACAATGTCTGAAACCGAATTCTGATTCAGGAAGGATTTTATCAGCAGATGATAATCTGTATGGCTAGTCATCAAGACATTGTTGGACTTTCATACATAGTAATCAACGAAGAATTCATAGTTTTATCCCTCCCTCTCTCTCCCTCCCTCTCTCTCTCTCTCTCTCACACATATGTGTATATATATATATATATATATATATATATATATATATATATATATATATATATATATTATATTACTTTAAACAAAAATTAGTGAATACACGTATTTGAACAGCGCTTTTTTTGTTATCTTTTTATCGCCACCCGGCCCGCGACAGTTTGCGAACCTGCGTCGCCCTTTGCGGGTGTAACCATCTTCTGGTCCGGTCCGCTTTTACCGTGCGGCTACGATGAATTTCAAAATAAAGCAAAGTTCTATCCTCCCATTAAAGAACACCAATTCACTCAGATTTTCTCGTAACCCACGTCTGGCCAGTTTCATATACAAAACGGAAACAAAACCATTTCTAAAGAATTACTGGATTTTATATATGTGTGTGTTTGTGCGTGTATGTATGTAAGCATGTGTGTGTATGCCTGTGTGATTTGTTTTCGTTGTTTTGATTAATATATCCATATTAACTATATATTTATTTATAAGTATATACTTACTCATGTCATATACATGTTTATAGTATTTACATTATGATCATAGCTAGTGGTAGTTACTATAGCGGCTTTATAACTCTCCCCCTATTAGTTTGTTGATGACAGTTTTGACAGTATATATATATATATAACCGTACATATGATTTGATTATAGTGGAATAAATGAATGCTGAAAACTGGTGTACAGTGTGACACAAAGTCTACCAACCATCCTCTTGTGGATTCAGAGTTGGCCCTCTAGTAGGCTGGAAGCCAACCATATCTATATGGACTCGTCTGTTTTTCGATAAACACACACACACACACACACACACACACACACACACACACACACACACACACACACATATATATATATATATATATATATATATATATATATATATATATATATATATATATATATATTTTTGAGGGTTTTGAACTAATCTGCCCAAATGTCCAAGCAGAATTTTTTAACAACTGCACAGTAAAAACTGCAGTGTCAATCGTCACGTTCTGCCTCGTTGTTCTTTTTATTTTCCTTTTTACTCAGCAATTTATTTTTTTCAATTACTTGACAATTACAATGAACATTATACAGTGAAAGTACACGATCAAAATTCAGTTAAAATAATGATGAGTGCTAATTTGATACATCCACGTATCTATCTATCTATCTATCTATCTATCTATCTATCTATCTAAATAAATATTTCTTTTATATTTTAAACATCTTTGGTAATCTATCTATCTATCTATCTCTTTATTATATATATACATATATATATAGTCAGAATGTCATTTTTGTATATATCTAGATATATCTCATTCTGTCTATGTATCGTTACACGCGTGTGTGGGTGCTTGGGTGTGTGGGAGTGGGTGTGTGGGTGTATCCAGTGAGAAATAATAATGCCGAGATAACCCAGGCCGGCGCAGCTTGAATATCAACTGTTTTTCCAGGGATTTTTATCTAAACTCATAATCCAAACACTGTCGCAAGTGGAAAATAAGCGTGTCTCAACCGGATCTTCACACACACACACACACATTTATATACATATATTTATGTTGAGTATTCTTTCTTCATTAATATAGAAACACATACACACACACTCACATATATATATAAATATGAGAGGAAATTGTTCTTGAGATATAACCACATATATTGTTATCCCTAATGTGTGTGTGTGCGTGCGTGTACCTGTGTGTGTCTATGTAAAGCAGAAATGTAGTTGGTATTCGCAAATATAATATATATATATATATATATATATATATATATATATATATATATATATATATATATATATATCAACTATATCTCTGCTTTTTGCTTGCAAATATTTACTCTGCTTTGGCTGCCCTCAAGTGTGCAGAGTTTTTAATCAAGTTCGCCTCCTGTGGTGGGTGGTACGCTTCGTCCCCATGTAGCCGTCAATCAGACACGGGCTTCCTGCTGTTCAATGGACGCCAGAAACGGACGCTCTTATAAACATGGCCGATGAGAATTCATCATCGAATAGACCACGTCACACCATGTCCGACATAAGAAGGGTGTAAGGAGGAAAATATATTAAACTGGAAGAGAGAAATAAAAATGAAAGGTAAAAGGAAAGTTCAAGAAATATAGAAGAAATGAAAAAAAAAAGAAAGAAAAGCATAAACGAGGCAATTCTTCTTTCGGACACGAGGGATCATGGCTCTCCACATCATCTTTTACTATGTTGCTCTTAGTGTTTTATTATTCTCCTGATATACCATGCATTGACTCCAGCTGATTAAGTATGTGCTATTTTCTTCTCATGCCTTTAGTCTTTCATATGAGTGTCAAACTCTCCAAGCCCTCTTTCCTAAATTTTTTTTTTTCATTTTCCTTAAAAATTATTCGTTGCTCACATGTACAGTCTATGGTATTCCAGACGCATTCTCTAGAATCACAGAGCTCTTGCTTCGTGTCGCCTCTTCATGTCTGACGAAAATTCCCAGTATTCATTGCGGTTTTTTTAATCAATTCCCACCAAGCTACGATGTGGTGTAATCGTTAGCAAACTTGTCTCGCTAGATCATTTACGATTCAGTAGTGAGTTCGAACCTCAGTGGGTGCTCCATACTTTCGGTTTTTGTGCTACATATATGCTACGCTTATGAAATCATTTCTGAGTAGTGAGTGTGATCCTCAATGAGTACCCCATACTTTCGGTCTTACGCTAAAAAAAAAACGACCCCCAAGCAAGACAATAATGCTACTAAGACTTAAGTGGTTACTGAGAGAGAATGAGAAGGATAAATTTATGACTGACTAGGCAGAAGTTTTTCCCGCATTAGGTTGTCATTTCTTTCTGCGGTAGACTGGTTGCCAACCAAGGCTAAGGAAACTAGTCTGTTCTGCTATTTAACCCATAGATAGGATGTGAAGTTACATAGGAATAAAGTGTTGTTGCCGACACCTGAGTTTGAACATAGATTGCCAGTGAGCAAACAAAGGCGATCCCATTATTGAATTAAGTAGACCACGTGACCATAAAAGAAACACATATATGGAAGATAGCGTCTATCTAATGGATCGCCATTTGTAGTCTATACTATTTCTCTACTCTATTCCCTATATTATTTCTTTATTCGGATCGCTATAAGGATTACTATTTGAGCGAGTATTATCGAGCAAGTACTATTAGTGCGAGTGTTATTCGAAGGCGTCTCACACCAGCATTGTTTATTGGCGTACTATAGCTGTATATGCGATTACAAAGTCTCTACTACAACGAGCATTGCGAAAGTGGCAACGAGTATTCGTTGACATCACGAAAGTGGCAACGAGTGTTCGTTCACATCACAAAAAGAAGAGATGGATTCATACCTTTCCTAAGGTTACTTTCGCGTATGTGAATGCAAGTAACTCGACTGGAATTCGAACTCGGCTTTTCAATTTCTCATTCCGAGCCGATATCCACAACGCATATCTCACTCTTTGATACCTATTTCTTCTACTACAGTGAAAGAAATGAAGTCTACAACTAAGTATCTATTTTAAATGCTTCCTTATTTTATTACGTTCGCCGAGGATCATTTTTCAGTAATACCCACCATGGGGAGGAATGTGTAGTTTGACTTACTGTAACAGCGAAAATAAAATTTACCGTGATTTAGTCAGTCAGTTAAGTGGCATACGTAATACACGCTAGGACAATCAAGTCTCTTTCGATTCATGATAGACTAGAAAGAACATAATCGCGCAATAGGCTGCCGTTTCTTTCTGCACTAGACTGGTTGCCAACCAAGAATCTAGGACTCAGTATGTCCTGCTATTCAACCCATAGTTGGTGGGAGAAGGGTATTTGTGTGTAAGTGAATGCAACGAGCCCGACTGGAATTCGAACCCGGCTCTCCGATTTCTCATTCCGAACTGTTATCTATTACAGAACGCACCTCCAGTAAATCCAGCAATATAAAACTAACCTTAATTATAAATATGTTTCTCGATCGAAACAGCACTTTCTCACTCTTCTAAAATCGAGAAATGTAATATATTTTTGTACAATTCCAAGTGTTAGTCAGTCATAGCCCGAATAATGAAAAGCGTTTGCACAGATTTCGAAAGAAAAAGGAAATGGCTGATTTTATTCTTTTAATTTTCATCTAATTCTCTCTCCAAGCGATACTTAGTTGATATCTCCGTTAATCTGTTATATGTTTTACATAGTCCAACAATTACGACTTAAGGTAATCCATTAATTACTCGATGACAGTCTTTTTAAGATCGGGTTAATAGTAGTTAATTGTAGAATAATGAACCTATCATCATTTCTTTATCGTAATTCAGATCGGTCAGTTAAGTGCCATACGCGATACACGCTTGGTGCAATCATGTCTCTTTCAATTCATAACTGACGAGGCAGGAGATATTCGCTAAATAGGCTGCCGTTTCTTTCTGCCATAGACTAATTGCTAAACAAAGATATAGAATCCAGTGTCTTCTGCTATTCAACCCATAGCTAGGAGGAGAAGAAATGGATTCATACCTTTCCCAATGGTATTTGTACGTAAGTGAATATAAGGACCTCGACTGGAATTCGAACTCGGCTCACCGAATTCTCATTCTGAGCCGTTATTCCTTACATCTCAACGCACATCATTTGATTCACAAGAAGCAAAAATCAACAATTACCAAGAAATAATATATTTATTTGTTGTTCCTTCTCGGGTTTTTATGATGTATCTTTAGAGGCATGGCTGAACGAAGATAGCATTCTCCATTAAAAATGTTTTCAATTTTCATGAAAAGCTTTACAGGATGCCGCTTTTCCCTTGGCTATGAATTTTCAATCGGATTGAGATTTAGAATCTTTGTTTGCTATGCCCGAGAGTTCATACACTTTTCTCGAAGAAATTTTCGATTTACGTCATAAAATTTGTTCCCAAATCCCCCCAGATCTCGCCAGGAATGAGTATTGCATGGCAAGTATTTGTCATCAAATACTTGGACAAATCGTTCTTGTTCGACTGCAAAATTTGCAAGCCCTATTTAAATTTAGGCTTATGTTGAAACACCGATTCCCCTACGATCAGCAAAGTTAATCAACGTTGAGTCTAAATATATATCTTTATGGGTGACCACTTGGGAATACCAGGGACTGTAAGCTAGGATGTGCGGGTGGTGTAATGGATTAATGGCTCAGAATTGTTAATCGCAGTGTATTCCAATTTCAGTTATTTTCGTTATATTCACTTATGGGCAAATACCCTTGAGAGAAGACTGAATTCAACTCTTCTCTTCCAGTTATGGGTTAATTAGTAAAATTTTTATCACTGAATCATTATACCACAAAAAGAATTCTTACAATTCAATCTTAAAACGATTTTTTCTGCAGATACTTGATAATACTACAATGCTAGATATTCTCCATTTTCAAGAGAAGTTGCTATTTCTTATTTTTCAAGTCTTCTTTGAACAGACATATGTCAGTTTACTTGGAAAACAATTCAGTTATTAATAAGAAGTGTTGAGATTAATGCATGTATTACTTCACAGCTCTAGCGACGCTCATTCATAATCAGCCTATGAATATTTCATCTCACAATTGTGCGAATGAACTATTTTTTTACCTACACACCTAGTCTCGTCTCTCAAGTTGTACTTTTCGTGAGAAGAATATGATTTTTAAAGTGAAACATTTACCTTTTAATAAAGCAGTCTCTCTTTCGTTTTAAATTCAATTGCAGCAGTTAATTCTTCGGAAATTTTTACTGGTAGTCCGTTCGCTATGGAATACAAATTGATTACATCGTTTTCAAGTATTCTCTACTTCAAAATTTTGTGGAATTACGTTGGGATATTTGACATCTTGCTGGCAATGTTCTTCCGTGGACTTTTCCAAGGGAAGCTAATTTCTCATTTTGATTGCATAATATTCTCTACTTATTTCCGTAGGTGTGATATCACTGGGATCTTACAGCGACTCCCCAAGCAAAATCTAATTCCACCGAGATCTGAACAGCAACTAACCTCCTCTGAAGATCTTCGATACATGTTTATGTTAAACTTATTCATCTTTTTATCGATATTTTTATTTTTATCATCTGTGTTTTCAGTTATCACATATTGTAATTTTTAAGGAAGGTAAACATGTGGTATGACGCTGGACGTAAACTTACCGTAGAGGGTTATGAAATTATTCACATTCAATATATCTTTTCTGCCT